GTCTGACAATTTTCTTTTTCAGATACCATCATTTGCCATCATAGCTTGGACTGATGCACACTGTGCATTTGTCGTTGAAACATTTTTAAGAATGGTGAATCTGTAATTGCAACATAGAGTGCTTTTCATGTTCATTTCCTGTTATGTTGGAATGATGCTGTCTCAGAAAATTTCTTGGTTTCAATCTCTATTAGGAGCAGCAAGATGTGGCACAAGGCCGAGTTTAAAGTGGGGTATCCTAGCCCGTAGGTTCGGGCAAAAATTGCCTATAGACCATGTAAAAACGGTGTCAGTTTCCCCGAGATGAGACTCTGCCCTTCAGCAGAGCCTCATCTGGGGGGTACCCTCTGACATAAGCCAGGTAATCTCTATTAGGAATGATTGCAAAACACTTTCCCCTCCTCACTTTATAGGCAGAAGCACACAAATGCATGCTGGGATTTTTTTTTTCCTAGCCAATAAAATAGGCCAGTTGTCAGATTCATCTGACTCAGTGTTGGTCTGTCTCTGAACTTGCTCTTGTTTCTCAACCCCAATTCTTAGTTTGTGAACTTTTTTCCATTATACTATTGCTTTACCTTATTTGCTTTGCCTTATTTACCTTGCATATATTGTTTGCTTGCTTTATATGATATTTTTTTCCCTGTTCTTTTCTTTTCTTTTTCTTGTTATTGTTTATTGCAAACTGTCAATTCTGTTTGTTGGACAGTTCTGTCACTTATTTTGCATTTAACCATTGCTGCTCACTCTATTTCAGGGTCACAGGTTCAGCACTGAAAAGAAAGCCACCTGAAAGACTTCAAAGGGCTCTAACTTCCAGGTGATGGAAAACTTTAGAAATCATCTAAAACAGTGTATGGCAAATAGAAGCTACCATTTTGAGGGTGTCATTTTTAAAACCAAATAAATAAAAACTATTGCCCTTTGTTTATACAACAATGAAATAAATTTTTAATAGCAGTCACTTTGGTCTTTTTGTCAGCCTTTAAAATGTGGGAGTTATTTCTGCCACACACTGTATTAACAATAACAACAACTACTACTATTAGTCTTCTAATAAAAGGACACATAAACTAATAAAAGAAATGACAAACAGAAGTAAAAGCTTTTTTTGTTTTGTTTATTTGCCAAAGAAAATTAATCTTTGTTAGAGATTTATACTTGCTAAGTGCTTTACACTTTAATGAAAAGAATCTTTTGTTTGTGGTAACAAAGAAAACAAACTACATGATAATGGCTGAGAAAATGACATTGGCAAATGCCTAATTCCTGGAGAACATAGATAGAAAATTCTCTGCCAAAGCACTTAAAGAAAAAAACAAAAAGGGGTAAAAAAATATTTTTTTGTTTTATAGATTCAAGTCTCTTTAGCCATCCACCTCCCATTCCTCCAAGCAATGTGCACAAGCATATACAAAGATATATGAAATTGATAACTCATTATATTTACTTAGTCTGGTACAAGGCTCACAAGTGTGAGGTACCCAGTGAGGAAAAGTATAATCATCAAGCTGAATTCAAATTCCTGCCTAATCTATTCCATTCACTTTTGCAATTATGTCTTTAGAAAAGGTATGAACATCTGTCTTCTCTTTAGCTATTGGTTCTCTAGCTTTGCATGACAGTCAACCTATGTTGAATTTCAAACTGTGAAAAAGGCAATGGGAAGCCATTTCACTATCCTTCCCGAGAAGTCATAACAATTCCCAGATAATAAATCTATGGAGGACCATAAGTGCCAACATCCTGAATTGATATAGCTTTAAAAAAATGCATAATCTGAACTTGATGGAGCTGTATGGTTTGTTTACAAAATACTTATAGAAAACAGATACTACATATTGTTCTAGACTTAAAAAGCTATAAAAATGTTTTATTCATTGTATCATAATTATTAGTGTTATTATTTTACAAAGCTCAGATTGATGCAGAATAGGGACAAATATAAGTTAGGAAGATTGTTTTGCATCAATATTCCAGGTAGAGAGGGTCTTCATGCAATGAAAATTAGTATTTAAACTCATATTCATAGGATATATTTAACAACAACACTGTTATCATTATATAATGGCATTTTAATGTTGAGAATATTCTTTTGCCATTGTAGACAGTATCAACTTTTTTCTTTTTTGGAAATCCATATTTCATCTCTCCCATGAGATGCTCATACATTTAAACAGGTTTTCATTACACATGGATAAAGAAATCAAAAACACATGACATTTTGATGTGTTACAAAAAAAGTGGACACTGGCTTTAATATGCCTAGATGTTGGTCAGAAAACAGTCAGATATTATTATTACTGAAACAAACATTTCTCATCTCTGTTTTTCTATTCTATTTGCTTACATTTTATCCATTGGTTTAAAAGAGGATCTGACAAAAAATTCTACAAAGCAAAAGTGACATTAAAGAAAGGCATTTTAAACCAAACTGCTAAGATTCTAAGAATTCTCATTCGGTGCCTGCAATATGTCATAACTTTGACTTTACAATAGTGACATTTTTCCATGTGAAAAGAGTTGTCAGGATAAAAATTATCCTTTTCTAATCAAAATAAAGTCAAGTAAAAACAAAACTAATGCTATATTCATGTTTTACGTCCCTTGACTTGAGAAATTGAACAATAATCAACAAAAACACTTTTATTAAGAAAAGAAGCCAGGAAAAAATGTCCGAAAAATAAAATTCTTACACTATAGTATAAGAATTTTATTCTTCAAACAGTTTTGATAAGAAGAGTAATTTTATTTTGTCACACTCACTTTAAACATTGATGATAAAGACAGAATTAAAATATTCAAGACAACTGTGAACAGAAAAATAATTTTTCTTTATAATTTTTTTTGAGACACAATCCCTGTAGATTAAATGAATGTTTCAGTTTGGAATTACCTGAAGATTATCCAGAGTGACAGATATTTGAAGAAGACCAGAGAGTACAATAGTCGAAACATGATAATAACCACAAAGACAGAATGTCATTAGACTGAACGTAAATAATGATAACTCCTCATCCCAGAATTCTGAGAGTAATTTCATGATAGATCTTTTTGAAAAATATTTTAAGTGCAATTTTTTTTTAATGTCTATTGTACATTTAAAATATGTGTGCATGATTTAAAAAAAAAAGAATGTAACCTCTTGTATCAATCATGTTTTTTTAGACAGTTCAATAGAAGTGTGTGAATAAAAAAACATACCAAAACTGACAAGAGATTCTTTTTTGTTAAGCTCTTAACTTCATCTGTAAATGTTCTAAAATGTTCTCATTATGACATCCTTACATATCTTTGTGCCTAACTGCCTGGGGGTGTCTGTTTTAGTGAAATTTGTAAGACAAGGGAAATAACCACTCCAAACTCACTCAAAGTGAAATATTCTTGTTAACAGTTGGGTCTCTTTTTTACATTCTAGTATCTCTTCTCCCACTAAACTAAATGATGCAATGTCCTTTCAGGATGTATGGCTCTACACAATTTTTTTTCTTTATTATCTGTGAATTGCCATAACTTATTGAAAAAGATTGTGGATTGGTTTCTCATTGCCTTCTCCACAGTTTTGAATGTAGGCTAGTCCTTCTTGAAGACTAGGTGCTAGACAGCCCAGTCTACCATGCTATTTAACCCATCACTTATGGGAGCAGAGACAAGATGGATTTGTAATTTTTCCAAGGGCATTTGTGCAAAAATGAATGCAACAAACTAGGCCAAAATTTAAACTTAGTTTTTGTACTAATAAACAATAGGCTACCTGCACATTGCGATTTTCAAGGGGAGGGGGATTCTCCATGTGATGTCATTTCTTGTTTGTTCCTACTGAAACATCATGTGTATAATAACACCTACAATTGCGATACTATGGACACCCATGTAGAAAGGGAAGAGTTTTATCTTGATTGCAAGTGTTTCTGTTTGATAGATCAATGGATGGTTCCTTTTAAATTTTGGTCTTCTAAGTAGCATCCACTTTAACCAAGGGTGAATGGGAAATAGAATGGTCGATTTCTGGATATCAAGTGGCTACAAAACAGAAAATAGAATATATCTGGGCATTGATCTATATTAACAGTCATGCTTTGGATTGGGGGAAAGTTTTGGTCCTTCATTGGCAGGAGATAAATGTGTCTGTTGAGCAGTTCTGAAGCCTTGATTTCATACAGCCAGCCACCACGTTGGGATGAGTAGATGGGCTAGGATTTGGTAAGTGGAAGAACTGACCTGTTAGACTAACATAGCAGAAGTTGCCCCAAGGTAGCACCCACACAAGCAGGTGAACTCCTGAATAAAACACCTACATAGAAACAGTGTTTGTATTCTTATTTCTCAACATGGCATTTTTTTCTCATCATGTTACCTTGTGAGCAGGCAGCAGGCCCTTTCCCAGCTTTAATACACACTGACAAGATTAGATTGAAATGCAATGTGGTGTAATCATTGGACAGTTGATGGAAAACTTGGTTGATGATCATATTGTTTACACAGTAATGAATATGAAAAGAATAATTTGAAAAAGCCAAAGTATTTACACTATTTACATTGTTTGGACTGTTGTTCTCATCTTTATTGTCATTTTCATGATGTTTGTATGCACCAGCCTTCTCCAGGTGATATATGTTGGAATTTCAAACCAAACCCTTTAATTCGTCCACCGGGGTAGATTGTTCTAGTTCCACGTGCCATGCCTTTTCTGAATATCTCAGTTTCAGTTATTTCCCTTTAGTAGCTCAACTCTCCTAGTTTTTGTTCACCTCTGTTGTGGCCAAGTATTGAACTCACAACTCTTTGGGTGAAGTCACTGAATTACTTCAACCAATGCTTTTATCTACTGGGCCATGTGACCTTGGCGACAGCTGAAACATCATGAACATGACAATAAAGATGAGGACAACTGTCCAAAAAATTTAAATAGTTACAACATCTCATCACAGAAATATAGATAGAAGTCAAAGTAGTTTGACAATTCCTCATCTCTAAAATCAGGCTTACAAGTACATCATGTTGAAACACTAGTTCCCATGCAATCACCAAAGTTAAGCAACGTCATGCATGGTCAGTACCTAAATGGGTGACCTCTCAGGAATAACAGGTGTTATAAGCTTGGATCTGCAGGTAGTGTAATGGATAACAGCTCAGATTTGTTAATCAGAGAGCCAAGTTCCAATTCCAGTTGGGTTATATTCACTCATAAATCAAAAACTCTTGGGAAAGGTATGAATCCACCTCTTCTCCCCAAGCTATGGGTTAATTAGTAAGACTTGTATCATTAAATCATTATTATCTCAAAAAAAGAGAAATTCTTACAATCTAAAAATATTTTCTGGCTTATTTAAACCTGCAAAGTTTTGATAAGCAGTAGAAAACGAATTAATCAATCAATTAAAATTCAAAACAAAATTAGTAAACAAGTGATATGAACCATCTCTGATAACCAAATCTGAAATTAGATTTGAAGGTACCAAAGACACAACTGATGTCTTTCATGATGGAGTTGTCATGGGTATAGGCATTAGCTTATCAAATGTTGTCATCTAGTTGTTGTCAGTTCAATTCTAGGATCAGGTAATGAAATAATATATCCAGTGCAAGAATGAAGATTACAGGGACAAAAATAACACAATAATCAATACATATGAGATATATCAGCCAGAAATAATGAACATCTGAAGATGGCCAGAGGATACTTGACTGAAACACTGTATGTATAACATTTATAGCAACCAAAGATGAGAACAAAAGTTTGAATAAATTCAATGTATTATTTATTTATTGTCTTAAAGAAGACAAAGATCAAAATTCATGCTATGGTTGTTACCTTTATCAATAACTGAGAGAAGAATCTCACTTCATAAATATGCTAGCCATTTTCAAATTACTCAAAAGCATTTGAACTGCTAGGAAAACTCAAACTGTTTGGAAAAGATTTTAGAATAATCCAGAATTTATACTCAGATCAAACTGCCTGCATAGAGATAGAAAATGAACTGAGTAGATATGCAAACATAGAAAGGGGCATAAAACAAGTATTTGTCTTTTCTCCAGACTTATTCAACCTTTACAGCAAGAATATCCTAAGGGAGCTGGAAACACTACCAGGACTTATTATTGGTGCACGTAATCTTAAGATATAAGATATGACAATGACACTGTATTGATAACTTTTGTGATGTCAACAAATACTTGTTGTCACTTTCATAATGTTAATTGTAGTAGAGACTTTGTAATCATAGATACAACTATAGTAACACCGTTGAACAATACTGGTGTCAGACACCTTCAAATAGCACTCACACTAATAGTACTTGCTCGATAATACTTGCTTGAATAATAATCCATATAGTGATCCAAATAGAGAAATAGTATAGTGAATAGTATAGAAAATAGCAAACTGTATAGTAATAGAGGACGGAATAGAAATGGCGATCTGTATAGTAATAGAGGATAGACTAGAAATGACGATCATGTAGATGTCATGCTACTACCTACTTATGCATTTCTCCAATGGTCACATGATCCACTTAATTCAATAATGCCTGTGTTTGCTCTTTGGCAATCTACATTCAAACTACAGTGTTGGTAGCAACACTTTATTTCTATATAATAATAACTGACTTCAAAGGAAAACTACAGGACCTCCTTGACAAAATGGTAAAAGAAATCAAGTAAAAGGATTAATCCTCAACTGCAAGAAGACAGAAAGTATGGTCATCAGCAAGAGAAAAAGCTCCAAATGTAAGTTACAAACTGGAGATACCAACATCAAGCAGGTGCAAAAGTTTAAATATCTGGAAAACGATTTAACAGAGAACAGAAAATGTGAAGCCAAGATCCAAATACATATTGGACTAGTGAAAGAAGCATCCCAAAAGCTAAGCCAGATGCTGAGAAATGGAAAAAAATTTTTAGAAACAAAGAAAAGAGTGATGGATTGCTATTTGATATCCATCCTCTTATATGGCAGTGAATGTTGGACAATCTCCCCAAGAATGAGGAAAAACTAGAGGCAGCAGAAATGTGGTTCTACAGAAGGATACTGGGAATTCCATGGATAGAGGAAGTAAGTAACAAGGAAGTCTCAAAGAAAATGGCAACAGAAAGAACACTTATTCTCAAAATCAGGCAAAGACAGTTGAAATTCTTTGAACACATAATGAGGAAGGAGGACTTGGAAAACTTAATCCTCCCGGGCACATTGAGGGCAAGAGTGATAGGGGAATGCAGAAAGCCACTTACCTGACAAGCTTTTGTGAATGGATGGTAGATTGTGGGGTTGGAACCTTAGCAAAGGAGAAAAACTTCTAAGAGCCACATGAGATAGGAAGATGTGGAGAACCATGATCATCTTTATCCTGAAGAGACAGCATATAGAAGAAAAAGATTTAACCCTTTAAGTTAGATTTAATATGTTATTAATGTGGTATTAAATTTGTTAACTATGCTGACTCTTGTGGTCCTACCTAGGATTGAACTTGCCATCCTTGGCTAACAAATTCCTGAAGATATTAGACGCCTGCTCCTCAGCTTAATGGATGTGTTCTAATCAGTGACAGTAACTTGTCTCCTTTCCTACCAAAGTGGATTTAACCTTTAGGCATTATTTAAGTTTATTGAAATTTCTCCTCAGGGTGAATTTTTCTATTGTTTGACAAAGTGCTGTCACTCAGTTTATTGATCAAGATCCTGTTTTAACAAAATTATTTACTATTGGCTCCAAATGTATGTAATGTTTCAAATTAAATTTTTATGGCCTGTGTTTAGTTAACCTTTATTACTTTGTATGTGACTTCATTTGCTATAAAAAAAAGTTTATCCTGCCACTGAAGGTGACTCTGATCCCTGAATTTGAATTTGTTTGAATTTCATAGTTTTATCATCATATCCTGCTATGGCAACAGAAAACACCTTTGAGTGAAATTAATAAGGTTACTGCAATTGAGAAGCATTGAAAAATAATGCAGGGGAAAGGGAAACATTAATATTAATAATGCAGTGTGCTAAAGGTTAATTTAAAAGTACTGTCCAATCAAAATACTTCTTGCTTCTGGTTTAAGAAACTTAACACAGGAGCCTACCAATACACATAAAAAATCGGTAGTTGTTAGACTGTACATCCTCCTTATTTTAGGACCAGGTCACTATTATTTTTTTTCTTTATTAAATACTATATCCCTTCAGAATGGCTCTCCACAAATATCCTTTCTTTATTATCTTTTAACTTGTTATAACTTCTTGGGAAAGATAGTGGAGTGGTTTTCCATTGCCTATTCTGTAGTTTTGAATTCAGAATTGTCTTTCTCCTAGAGCCTCCCAAGGCTGAGGAGGCCATTTATTTTAGGAGGCCATTCTATAGCTGGAGGGAGAGAGAGACAGGTTCATGCCTTTCCTAAGAGCATTTATACAAAAGTGAACATAATGAACTAGGCCAAAATTTGAACTCAGCTAACATCATTAATAACCGTTACACTATCCACACATCTAGGTTAATTTATTTTCATTTATTTTCTTATTCTTCTTTCCTTTTCCTTATTCACTTATTGACTTAATATTCAGTTGTATTGTGACTGAACCCTAGCAACCTTACAGAATTTTCCCTAAACCTTATCCTAACCTGATATTAATCTTGCCTTGTTTTTGATATATTTAATTGCTTATTACACAGGTTCATCATTCTTTCTGAAAACTGCTATGAATTATTATTTCATTCTATTCTGTCTAACATGTGACTCTCAAAGCAATTTTATGCAGTCTGTAACCATGACCGACTTAAAACGATGTAAACAAAAAATAAAAATGTCTGATGAACATTTACAAGACTTGGTGAGAACAGCAACAAACTCAGTACAAGCCAGAAATTAAAAAATAATGCAGCATCAATCCAAGGTCAAGTATCTCATTAATTGTACTTTGAAGAAAAACTTAATGTATTTTTGCTTACAACATCATTCTTTTGTATATAATTCATTTTACAATTCTAAGAAGATAAAAAAAAAAAAACCTAAGATGGCTTTGATTTTAGTCATAGTGAAGGAGATGTAAAAAAACAAAACAAATTATATCCTAAAATAATCATAATTTTTGTAAAACGCAGAAACTGCAGGCTGCAAAAGATTGGAGTGCACTGATCCAGATGAACCTATTTTTTACTGTTTTGTGATTTTGAATTTAAATTTATGTGGTCATCATTCCATCTGGAGTTTTAAAGAAAATACTTTCTGAAAATTACTCAAGACCAGAAACTAAATTTCTCGAGTTATGGTATAAGCAGTTCTATTAAATAACAGCAAAAATCAGAAACATCAACTAAATTGGAGATTATATTGATTAAGGCATGTACAATTACACTATTATTATTATTTTATTACTAGTTTTTACTTCATGTTATTATCATTTCTTTTTAATGCAAGAATATGGATCTTTATACTGTTCAACACAGAGTGTTATGAGAAAAAGCAACAATAATAATTGGGAGAAAAAATATTAAAAAATGATAATAGTGAAAATTATTCATCTAAAAATGTTTTTTGAGCTGTGCTCTTTAAAAAAGACAATTCAAATGTTAACACGTGTAAAAATATTCAAAGTAAAAACACATACAGACACACATACATACATACACACATATAAATAAATAAATATAGATATATATATATATATATATATATATATATATATATATATATATGTGAAAAGTGTGTGTGTATAAATATATATATATATATATATATATATATATATAATTATTTATATATTATATGCACGGTACTTATTAAAAGCGCTCAATATCAGAGATAGAGCTAACATATTTGGTTGGATTGATGTGAAACCCAGGGTCACAAACTCACGTCAATCCAACCAAATATATATATATATATATATATATATATATATATATATATATAATAAAAAAAGGCTTAAACACTAATATTCCATGGTCATAATTTATTCCATTGGAATCGTAAATACGATCCAATTCATCAGACCTACAAATTCAAAATGAAAACAGAAAAAACCCACTCCGGAAGTGGAAACAGAATTTAGAGAAAGTTTAAATATGAGGAGGAGGGAGATTGAACCTTAACAGAGAGAATTTTAGGAGA